TGACAACCGATAATCGATCATAGAATAGTTTCCGTTAATATCATAATATTATAGTCTTCTCGCGAGGATACTTTTTTATTTTTATTTCGCAATATATTTTAGTACATTTAAATTATAGTAGAAAAAGAGCGTAATATGTAACGTGATGTTGCTATTACGTGTAACACGAGTCAATCTGGTTGATTGCACTTATGTTGCGTTATATCCCATCCATTAACGATACGTGAGACGTTATGCATCGTGTGAATAGAGGCTCTAAAACAAAGTTTGTTCAACGACTGTGTTCGCCGACCGTTTGCCCTCCCTCGCCTCTATAATTAGTTTTGATTGCGTTTACGTTCGAATAATTTCAAGCGGGTGAACTTGCTAGATTAAATCACGTGGCTCTCGGCGTTTTCTCTCGGCCGTGGAATCGTATAATTATCGTCACATGAGCGCGGCGTTTAATTGACAGTATGTACGCTGCCTACTCGCGAATCAAGTAGTAATGCGTAAAAATCGAATCTCGTACTCGTTTGCTATTGTAATATCGCGGATATGCAAGACGACGACGCGGATATTTGCATCACCGATCATGAGAGAACCGTGCAAAATATTGCGTTAAATATTAGAGATCTCTCGAGTCTATGTCCGTACAATATAACAACCATTCTGCTCTTATTATCATTAAATCCGTCTAATTGAGTTCGAGTTGACAAAAGCCCGATCACTTAACAAATTTATCTATTTCCCTAAAAGAGCTTTATTTTTATATGTATTGCTAATATTCGTGAAAGGAAAAATACACGAATTAAAAACTCTTATAATTTAATGTTATTTTAAAAGCTCAGAGGAAAGATATCAAAACCTATATGTTTTCCAATCGACATGGACCTATTTCTCAGCTATTAAGTGATGCGTCATATATATAAAAAAAACTGATATGCTCTTTGGTCCGCTTAGTTAATTTATTCATCAGAAACCTGTAGTTTATACAGTTTAGTTGTTTAGATGCTAAATTGGATTGTAAAAAGTTCCAGAGATTCGAAAGTTTCTTTTTTGTGATTTGCTTTAACAAATTACATAATCTAATGGCGAATATCTTTTTTACATTATTCTACTTGTAGGCCTCTAAATCTATTTTATTTTCGTTTTTATTGCTCGTTTTTATCGTTCTTTAGGAAATCGCTCGTTAGTTGGGAAAATTAAATTAGAATGTTTCAACATATCCCCTAGTCCGTGTAACATGATTTAATATTTTATTTTGAAATATCAAATCAAAGAGTATGACAATGAATATTATTAACTGATTTTTATCTGAATTTTTTATTTAAAGATACGAAAAATTACACGAAAAATTTCAGTTTAAAATTTTATTTTAAATCTTCAGCTAGAGGGAAACTGAAAATAAAATATTTTCTATTTTTGTATATTTCCTTAAATATTTACCGACAAATTTTTGCGTTGGAAAATTTAACTCGATATCTTTCAAGAGAGAGAATGAAATTGTGTATCTCTAGCAAACATCATACTCTTTCCATATGAGGTCTCGGAAATCTTCTTGAGCGTTTCTTCAAGAGCTTTACATATTTGCAGAAGTACTGCAACCCACTGTTGCATGCGAGCCATCAAATACCCTACAATTATGCGAAGTAGGTGCGAAACTTTGCGCGTTAGTTGGGAAGTTAGAATCGGTTGTATAAAAATTCACTCAATCACTCATGCTCTCAGAATTGATATCCGATTACTGTAATTATGACGATCTAATCGACGTTCTCCATCGCACCCTGAATTTCGCAATATGTGGATAGGTTAGATCGCATCGGATAGAAAGCGCATTTGGAATATCACTATGATTCTGATTGATAGATCCCAAGGGTAATGTTTCATGCATTTACAGATTGATCTATAAATCTACGGAAACGGGCTGAAAAATTTCGCGCAGCTTGGTATCATTTAACGGTTAAAGATAACATCTGTAAATTATTTGTAATATTGTAATTGATTGATAGATCTCGGTGGTGTAATCGCTGTTTCGCGTGCGATGAATCGACGTATAAATCGATGTAAACACTCTTAAAAATTTCTCACAGCTTGAAACCAGTAACCGTTTATTATATACTACTTGTAGATAGCGGATATAGATATTTTTAAGTACAAATTGCTAGACATCCCGATTATAATCATCCACGGAAGATCTATAAGGCAATAAAAACACAGAATGGAATAAAAAATTATTGTGAAACTTTGAGATATATGATTTATAAGTAACTTAGTAAATATTAAACATCTTGAGAGAGAGATAATTAAATCGAATTAATCCTTTCAAGATCAAATTCTTATGTAAAAAAAGTTTTGTGTATATTTAAGAAGATTTATTCTTATATTTGCTTGCTTTTTCAAAAATGTTTCAACAGTTAACAACGTAAGAATACATTATCATATAGATAGAGAAATATACAAGGTGCGAATTATCCAATCATATAAATGTGTTCGTGAAATGCACTTGTATCTAAATACTGTATCTATCCGCATGCTTAACCACATTGTCTAAAAAGTTTGTAAAATAGATGCAAGGTAAATATAAGCATAATAGCACGCTTATTACATTGTTAATTATGTCAAAGTTCGCCAATAAACGTATTCATGTCTTTAATTGGTTGAGGAAAAAGCTCGCGTTACACTTTACATCTGATTATACATATATATGATATATGTTCGTCTCTATACTCGTAATGGAATATATGCCGATCGAAGATATTTCAACGCCTCCGGAAATATTTACGATTCGAAGGCAAAATATATTAATTTGAGCGCGCAAATACTAATCTTAAGTAATTGCGTCCGAGAAAGCACTTCTTGTAGGAGGAGGAAAAAAGCTGCCCACGGCCTTGCGGTACAAGAAGATATAGGTACAATGTAACAGGAATATGCGGGCAGCAAGAACAGGCAACCCATAAACCTATTTCTTCCTCTTTTTTTTTGCCGATATAAACGAAAATTATAAAGTACGCCAATTTTAAATCTAAAATGATGTTATAAACGTCACATGTAAACTTTTAATATAAAAATCAAATAGCAAATGGCACTCCCTGCGCGACACATGGTACTGAAATTAGCTTAGAGAACAATTTTTAAACTTAGAATATATTATAGATATTTATTTTAAGATTAAATTATAGCTCCGGTTCTTTAGTTTATAATTCAGGCTTTTTTTTAGAATGTGATCTAAAATTTATGTTATAGCAATAATGTTATATAAAAAAAGAAGACTGCGAGATATTGACGTTTGATGTTGCAAAAATGAAATGTAGGCTCCATGGATGTTTCTTGCATAAGAATTCGAAAGTTCTTCCTACGCCATTGGAGGCAACGGTGCAACAAAGTTGCACCGAGCCGCGGGCCGGTTTGAAAGCTAACGTTTCATTTCCGTTCTCTACGTGCAAGAATGATGCTCTCGCCATTTTTCGCCGTCAACGATCCGTTAAAATGGTTGCAGAGCGGCGCGAAGAAGAAGAATGATTGAAGACTAGAATATTTCTCTCAACCTCATGTATAAAATCATCAAAGAATCCAGAAGTGGAAAAAAAATGCTTAATTTTTATGGAAATGTAGAGCGTCTCGGTTCAAATGTATAATAAATTCTACAGTTGATACAGAATATAGAGAACTCCTTTAGAAAGCCCGGGAAAAAATTTTAAGACCCTTACTTTATACACATAGACATATCGCACCGCGATCTTACAAAAGTGGAGTTCAAAGAGGTTTGTGCAATTTATTTTCGCGCGATCTTACGCAATGGAACAAAAATGCGCGGCTTTTTCTTTATCGCGCGCAACAATATTGTGCGAATGACGGAGGTTAATTCAAATCGGTTCCCTGATCTCGGCGACCAGCCAAGAGCAGTTAATTATCGCGTTAAAAAATCAAAAAAACCCAAATCGATCGCCAGAGTCGCGTAATTACAGTTATCTCGGTGCAACGCGGTCTTCAAGCTTGCAACAATGAGACGCTCGTAATTCATTATTGTTCATGTTCCATTATCCGCGCGAATAACGACGGCAAGAAGAATGTTGTAAATCAAACGCGCGATGCTTACGAGCACTTAAAATAAAATAAAATTTGAACGATTCGGAAGTCTGAACTTTTACAATTTTTTGACGACTATTAATCCAGCTTTATATTTCAATGGATTCATTAAATTATTTTTTCATTTTTAGAAATTCTTATTATTTTTCAAATGTATTATTCTATCTGTAAGTGTGTGATTCTTTTGTGTTATTTAGAGCTTGTTATACAGAGTTCTTTGAAAATTGGACACACAAAGCTTTATTAAAAAAATATCTTTCTATATTTGATGATGTTTTCAAAGATATTGTAGAGAAATATTACAAAATCTTCATCAAGTTGAATTTCCTGAAAAGATTTTCTTAATCTTGATTACCTATCGGCAATATATTTCTGTGACTTGCAAAGCAATATATTTTATGGTTTTAGATATTCCCGTTATATATACCAACCAAACAAGAAAATTCGTAAGACTTTTAACTTCAAAATGAGAGCGCTAATAAAATTCAGCCTACTTATGCAGTCGGCGTGTATTTCTCGATACATTTCTCAATTCGCTTCATGTTTTTATTATGTTAATATTTATGTATTACTAAGTAATACGTAATATCGTAAACTAATTTTTATCAATGTAGAGATCCGGGTTCCGAGTCATCTTTTATACATTTCTTTGGCATCTAGATAGAGTTAAGACATCACGTTTGATATTTAAAATATGCATTTTCTTCTTTTTTTATATAATATTGCCTAATATATTATTTGGAGTATGTTTGATGTTTGTAATCAATAATAAAATTAGATATTTTGGAAATAAAATTAGAATCCGATATTTTTGTTTTCAGAGTAGTTCTGAGAAGTAATTCACAAAATATATATATATATATATTTATAATTATTAATATTGTTAATTTTTGAATTATTACACTAATAACAAACGCTGTTTTTGTTTACAGGAAGTATTGTTGGCGCATAGCAAGGCCACCGCTCATTGTGAGCCGATCACGGTGATCCTGGCTGAAATGGAAGCGCCGGAACTCGCGGCTCTTCTCGGTTTTGTCTACACGGGAAGTGCCACGGTTCCGCGGATGCGACTGGACGCGTTTCTACGCGCTGCCGAGACTCTGCGAATTCGATTGCCACCGGTGCCGGTGACGACGATCTGCGCCGAGCGATCGCCAGCGGATTGTAAACTCGAAGACGTGAAGGACGTCAAAGTTAACCCCAAGTACCTGCGATGCAATCAGTATCCTTGGTGCAGATCGGGGAGACTGTCCTACGAAGATCCGCATGACAGAAAGGAGTCCAGGATATTCCCGACGGAGGACAACAGAAACGTCTTCAGGGACATCGGGACGCTTCGTGAAATCAACCATCCTGGTCCCAGCTCGTTTGATCCAAACTGCCCGAGCGGATGGCCAATCGATAGTTTCGTATACCAGGATAGAACGATAGATGATGCTTCCATAGAGAAAGATCATCGCTCGGTGATAGTCGGCGATAAAAATCGAATGATAGCTCCTAGTAGCGAATCGTCCTTCGATGTTTATCAGCGAGACGCGTGTCTTCCTGATAGATCGTTCACGGAACGATACGATAGTCTGGATCCTTTGGAGAGGATGAGAATATCGGGGTACGAGAGATCGCAGATGAATCGTTCGACGGAGAAGCCGATGACGGACGAGGACGTCCACGCGGCAGGATCGGGGGGCGACTCTTACGGAAGGATACGCGACGAGTGCCCCTACCAGGGCACAATGCCATCGTCGTCCTTGCAGTGTCGGACAAGGTCGTTCGAGAGGACGACCGATTACGGTTCGCAGACGGCGGTGGGCGAGGATCTCAGCTGCGGCGAAAGTTGTTGTAGGTGGAGGACCGTCCGCAGACACGTGGCCAATCGCGTCACCGCGTCGCCGTGGCGCCAGATTATTAGGCCTCATCATTCACCGAGAACCCCAAGGTCCGTCGTACCCCAACGTCACGTCGATGACGTAAGTACTTGGCGAATTTATAAATATTGTGGATCGCGTTTTCCCATTTGATAAAGGGTGTGGCCCTGTTTTGTATATTCGATTACGATGCAAATACGATTTCGATCGATCGAAATCCCGTTGCCCCGTATTCTCATGAATATAAATGTAAAGGATTCACCATGGTGGGAACTGTGCCGAGGTGAATAACATTAAACGGCACAATCTAACACAACCACATGTTTTTCGCCTAATCGGTAGTAAAAATTGATACCTGTCGAGCGATGGAAAATAGGACTTCGACTGCGTGTATAATTTAAAAAGAACTAATTAAGCATTCATGATGGTAAATAATCACGCTAATAAAATGGCGAATTTATTTTCTCGCATAAATATGAAGCACTTTTCTCAAAAAGAGAAGATCTAGAAAATCCAAAATATTTCATACTTTTAAATAAATTAATAATTGATAATTTTAAATAATTGAAACTCTCTCTCTCTCTCTCTCTCTCTCTCTCTTTCTCTTACATATATTCACATAAAAAATTTTACGTAGTATTTTTGTTTTTCGAACGATTTGCATTTAATTATGCGTTACAGATTTATCGAGAATCATGAATCGCGGTCGATTAGCTCATGATCCAGCTACAATTTTCGTAAAATATGGCGAGAACGGAGATAAACCGTTACAACCCTTAATTAATGCCATAGAAGCGAAACATTTTAACGTGACATGGATACACGGACGCACTCGCCGTGTTATCGTCCTGGCGCGTCGAGATTAATGAGAGAAAATAGTTCCGATATTCCTGTCTGTCTCTATAAATTGCTCGTGGTAAAACTCACGAAGTTAATTAAATAGAAACCGCGATCCTCGCGCGCCATAAAACTAGCAGCATCAATCGTTGTTGCCACTTCAATTTATTAATGCAGGAATGTAAAAGAACGGTTGTTTAACACTTAGTTGTTTTTATATTAGCTTATTAATTCAGTCTTAGCTCGTAATATATAAAAATTCATATTCTAATGTCGCTATTAAAAACGTTGCCTCGAAGTAATCCTCGCTCTTATTTATTATCATAAATAAGTTTTCAATATGTTTTATGTAATTTTTTGAAGCATTAATAAAATACGCGCAAAAGCAAAAAAAAATGTTTAAAGATGACTTGATGAAGATTTTGTCGTTTTAGGATATATGTAAATTGCACGAAATGATAATTTTTTTTTTATGTTTGTGTCAAGATTTCTTAATGTATTTATATTATGTATTGGATTATCGTCAAATTAATCTAAATTTGAAGTCTAATTGCATATGCGCAATTTTTGATGTCTCGGATGTGTCTTCCAATATTAATTTGTGAACGAATTAAATTAAACGAGACTAGACATGATATCATTTGAATCTCATTATAATTCTATGAAATGAGAGTTTTCGATATATATTTTATCGTTTATATTATCAAACGTGAATGGTGCCATACTAAGAAACTAATTTATTCCAATGTATTCCGGAAAGATTCACATTTGCTTCTGCGAATCAAAAATCATAAATCAACATGACGTCGATGAGGAAACACGAGCTTCAGCTGGCGTATTAAAGATTATCTAGTTTCAGCCATGCGCATATTATTAAAATTTTATGTGTCAGATAAAAAGGCGCTAGTAACCTCATGAATAGATAAAAATGTGTGATAGAGACAGAAAATGTATAGGTTGCTTATATTATATATGTGATTTCCATATAATATTAATCCTTTCTGTCATATCAACAAATCTTTTTCTCTTTCCAAATTTTGCCTTTTGCACGTAACACAAATCACGAACAAGTCGGGATATAGAACTGAGTTTCTCTCAGAAATTAATTAAAGAAAGATTGCGGTTCGCGTACATCAATTTTCCGACATGAAACATAAAAGAAACCAATACGCGATGAGTCTACGTGATTAATAGAAATTGTAGGCACTAGACGCGTCGGTGGAAAGAGAGTTAATTGATAGTTGTAAACATCAAAGCGTAGACGAATGCGAACCCGGAAAATTCAAGCATTCGCCATTTGTACGCTCGCGTCTCAACCACAGGTGACAGCGCCGCCCGCTTCCAGGTGCGTCGTCGCCCTTCACTCGGATACGATGTCGTTTCACTTACAATTAATGCAGCTATCAGTTAGCCCGCTCCCTGCTGGCCGTTTATCAGGCCGCGCCGTGATTGCGCATCGCCAGCTGGCGATGCCAGCTGCGCGCGCGTCCGTCGCATTATTACGCGCGTTTTCTCTTTCGACGGGAGATGCGTGCCAGATTTCGTGGATCGGCCATGCTGCTTGCGCAAGCCAGCGGTTGCCGCAGCTTGCGCCGAGATTTCAATCGTCCGGATAAGGACGAAGCCGTTGCGTTCGCGGTCGTCAGAGATTTTTCCTTGTGCATACGCGGATTGATAATTGCAGTCTACCATAAGAGAAAAGGGAAGAACTAGAAATAAACTTTGAGAAGATTTCTATTCAAGTTTTTTCTACAAATTTCTATTTAAATTCGGAATATTTGATTGATATTTCGGATATATTTCGATTGAATATTAATCAGATTTTATTTGAATTTAATAGATCAATTTTTCCCAAGGCAAGGATACATGATATTATATGCGATGCATATACCCTAAATTTTTATAATAAATTATGAAAAGAATGTTTAGGATAATAAATAATAATTATTACATGTGTAACAAATTTATCTTTTATATATTGAACATAGATCACTTTAATTAGAATTAACGATTTTTAGCTATTTTGATATAAATATAGCTTAATCATTATAAGAATTATTAATTATTTAGACATCAATGAGGCACGCAACTTCAGGATTTTGAACTGAAATGTGTTATTTATAGATAACATAATATTTTCAATATTATAATTATATAAATACTTTTCTATGATAAAAAAGAAATCAATTGGCAACGCTACGCTTTCAGCACGAAATTTTTCTCATAAACAAAAGCGCGGTAGACAGTACCGCGACACTATCCGAAAAACGATTTAAAAAAAAGGGCAGACATAAAGTATTATGAAGATCGATAGCAAAAACCGATCAAAAGTATGATGTGAAGTGTAAAAGTTATAATCCAATGCAGCAAATTTCACGGAAATATTACGATAATCAGTATCGTACATTCGATATAAATTTTATTTCACAAATTCAATTGCGGCTATTTATATTGAACTTTTCTGTTGAATGTGAATATAATTACAATAGATGCAAAAATAAATATGCATTTTAATAAAAACATCTTTCTTATCCCATCAGGGTCATTTAATTATTGCATTCAAATGTTCGATAGCGTCCATCAAATTGTCACAATTTAACTACTTTCTAATTGCTGCTTTCTTCTGTTTCTATCAACTGCTCATTATGCGCACG